CTCCCGCCCCCCGGTCCCCACCGACTCCGGCGCGCCCGCCCCCGCCCGCCGCCGCTACCACCACCAGGGCCTTCCCGGCCCCGCGCTTGCTTCCTAGGGCCTCCCCACTGCGGGAGGCTTAAGTCCAGAGAAGGGAGGGGACAACAGTCCTCGGTGACCCCCCTCCCGCTCCCCGACTCCTGTTCGCGCCGGACCAGTGGCCCCGGCGCCCACTGGCCCGATCTAGGGAGTGGGCAGCGAGTGCGACTGAAAGTCCACGGAAGTCCGCGAAAGTCCCGCGAGCGGGCCGGGTGTTGGGATTTCGGGGGGCCAGGTGAGGGGTCGCGCCTATCTGCACCAGCCAGGTACCCGTGGCCAGTGCGCTCCCCGCACCGGTCCCCCGCCTACGGTCATGCGAACGCGCCCTCGCACCCGCGCTCACATTCTGCGCGTTCTCCCATCGCACCGACAACACGCGCCCGCGCGCGTCCTCCATCCCTGAGTGGCCACCAGGATGTGCCCCAGGCCTCGTCGCAGCCGCTCCACTGTCCTTCGCCCCAGTATGTCTTTTTAAAATTTCTTAAATTTCTAATTTTTGCCCTTGCAAGTGACCAAGCTTGCGAAGCTTAGACTCAGATGGCCTCTCTTGGCGTTTACCCTGGAGTGGGGCGGGGGGGGTAGTGGAGGGTGGGAAAATAGGCAGTCGCCCTTCCGCACAGTCTCCCATCGGGCCGCGGGCTCCCTTGCAGGACTAGGGGAGTGGGCTGCCGGACTGTTGGAATCTCCTGCCCCCACCACGGGACCCTAACCGGGTTCGTTCACCAGGCAGCCTTTTGGGTCTAGACTTGGGTTCCCAGCCTGCACTCTCCCGCCTGCCTCTAGTTGTGTAAGTTCCTTGAAGCGACAGCTTTAGGTTTAGGGAAGAGCGCTACAGACTGTGGAGGAAGGAAGCCCGCAGGTTGAAGTCGCCTCCAAACAACCCCAAGAGCCACTTAAAGGGAATTTTTTTTCCCCTCTAAGGTTTTGTTTATCCTTTTGGTGGAGGGCGTATTCATTTACGTGATGTTTCTTTTTTAAAGAAAGGAAAATAAAAGATGTTCGAAATTTCGAGTTCTGTTTAACTCACTTAACGGATTCTGCTTTTATAGTTAAGCTATGAGGTAAAATGTGTCACTGTAATCACGCGGTGAAGTTCAGTGAAGGCAGCAGCGTTTGGGGGACATTGTTGCGTCTGGTGTAGAAGCTCTTGACTGTGGAAAGTTTATGGCCAGGACTTTGGGGCGATCCGGGCAGGAATTTTCCTATTGAAACTCGGACAGGTAAAGCAACAGAGACGCGCAGACGCGAGAGAAAAAGTACGAGTTGTGTTGGGGAATGGGTGTGATTGTGTAAATTGGAAGTTTTTGCAGAATTTATAGAACCCACAAGAGTTTGGGAGAAGTTCAGCACCTCCGTGGGAAGACTCATTTCTTAGAAGAGAAAACGCAAGTCATCCATGAGTCCAATCTCTGGCTAAAGTTGCACTGTCTGGTACGGACTCGGTTCCCTTCCTTCCTTCCTTCCTTCCTTCCTTCCTTCCTTCCTTCCTTCCTTCCT